GCAGTAGTTTGATCTAAGTTCCTGAACAACAACCCAAAATAATCTTCATATCCGACCCCGCTGATTGAGGCCAGCAAGCAACACGCAGTTTTGCAAAGTTGGATATTTTTCCTGAATAACACTAAACTCTAAACCCTTAACCCTAAACCCCTAAACCCCTAGATCCTAAACCCTAAACCACTACTTAGAGCCAGATCTTCTGAACAAGCACCTCATCTTCCAGTTCCAGGTCCCTCTCGGGTATCTGGTCCTTGTGTCAAGCGGTTTAGGGTTTATAGGGTTTAGGGCTTAGGGTTTAAGGGTCAAGCGGTCCGTCTACAGAAGCTTAACCCCTTTTTAACCCCAATATAAACCCTACATATAGTAGTTTCCATTTTATTTTCCGTTATCCCAATATAGCATATTCAAATCTCATTCAAGCTCGCAACTTGGAGAATTGGGCCTGGGACTCAGACAGACCTCAATATAGTACACACAAGCACACAATCACACGGGACTGCTAACTGAGGAGCCAAATGCAGGTCTCACCCCTGGCCCTCTAGAATTCATAGGGTCAATACCAGTCTGCAAAGGCTACAAAGAGGCCGCAGTTGGCGCGGAGGTGGGATTGTGGAGTCGAGGCATGACATGTAGGATTTTGTCTCAGTCTCATGGAGGCGATTAGGATGTATGAATTCAGCACTAGGGTCTTCGGGCATCGGGATGTAAAATAGGTCCTCCCAAGCAGTTGTGGATTGTCTTCGTAAGAACGCATGATGCAACCCACTGGCTTTCAAAAGTATGCTGTTGCTAGCGAAGGAGTCAGGTTTAGGGAACGTCATGGAGTGAAAGCGGTCTGGAGCTGTGAATCTTATGGGCGCGACGTTGGGACCCCTGGGGATAACGTCTTGCTGCCACGCTGAAGAGACAGTAGCTCCAGGAGTCAGGATACACAAAGTACCGAAACAAGCAACTCATGATGAGAACGTTTCGAAACACCGTCAGCCCAAGAAAAATCGAATGGGATGCCGCAGAAATCCGTCAGAAAAAAAGTTGGCTGCTGACCCCGCCAAAAGCAGCTAGACGCACTCTCCATTTTTTTGCATTGTCAGACGCGATACGGCGACCTCTCCATGATTTAAGGGGGGGGGGGGGTTAAATAACATGGACTCTTACTCGTGTCATCCCTACTGTACCATCTCCGTTTAGGTTGCGGTGACAACTCATCACGATGTGTTGTCTGGGTAAAAGCACCCCAGAAGTACTGTAAATCTCCTTAATCGCACCCTGAACCCTAAACCTTAACCTCACCCGGCCTCGATGTCTGCTCCCGTCCAACCTGCTTCTTGTGTGATTTCCTGCCAAGCGCTCTTGCGGATCATGGTTCGTGGTAGTGGTGCAAAGAAGCAAAATAGTGGCGCTTCCTGCGCGGCTTACATGCATAATAATGATTATAACAGCAACAAATAATGACAATAATAATGATGATAACAACAACGAGGCTTTAGAGTGGTGAAGTCATAGGGTTGTCCCAGCAGTGGCACAGAGCTCAAGAGGCCGAGGTGGAAGTTTGTTGTATAGGGGCCGGCTCAAGAAGAGTAGGGGTGCGCAGCAGTTTGTATTCCAAGCACATGGCGCTTTGGAATTTCGATTTTTTGGGGGCTTCTAAAATACATGTGGTTCAAGAGCTTGGAAAGCTCTGTAGGCCTCAGCCCAGAATGCACGGAACCTGCACCAAAGAACGACAGAAGCGAGTAAGGCCGTAAGCCAGAACTGCAAGCCGTAATCCGCGCACACTGGGTCATCCACCTAGCAACACTGTAGCCTAGAGGCAAAGCTTTTGAGCCCCTCATCTGACCACATGAGGGATGGTGGGCGTAAGCTGACTGCAACTGTAGGTTTACTTAACATATGTAACCCCATTATAGTAGTTTCCGTTTTCTTTTCCATTATCCCCATATCACCCCAATATATTATCTTTGACGAATAATCGCAATCCAAGAAGTTCACGCTATGTGGAAGTCTTGAGCGTGATTGAAGCAGATCACAGGCCTCGTAGCCATCCGTGAGAAGCGAGTGCAAAGCACCCTGGAAGGTCTTTGACTCCTGCGCATGCTGCGTAAGGTCCAGAATGATCAGCTTCCTATTGCTCTTGCTGTTTTATGTTGTTTCTATCTAGTTCTTTGATTTAGCCTCCGTTTGCTTGTGCAGCTTTGATCGTTCATTGGCAGAGACGACTCTCAAGGCTTGCTGCAGCAGCAATGAGAACCTCAACAACCCTCTGTGCGGGAAACAACAACTCTGGAATTGTTCTTTCAAGCCATGCTTGGTGGTTTTGCCGACTGAACAGAATGAGATTGGCATGACGTGAGCATCAAGGGAACTTCGTAGTTTCAGGAGAGCTGCCAGAACTCAATTCTTAGCCATTCTATCACATAAAGAAGATTCTCGTCTACTCGGACATGTGGAGAAGCAATTGGCCACGCTGAGCCAACTTGCCTGGGTCTTCTCACAGCAGGGTTTTTGTTGCCAAATGCGCCGCAGTTGCATCGAAAGCACTTCAGTGTCGCCTGGAAGGGTTTGGTCACGCCGTTGGGCCTGGAACCTTTCCAACCGTACGTGATGAAAGGGAAGCTCAGCTGCTGCATGTTTCTGTCTTCCTTCTCGGGAAGAAGGACACAGCAAGGACTTGCAATGATTAGCAGGCTTCGGCACATTGGGCTCGGCTGAACTAAATTCAAGATACCCTTCTTGGGGCATGACTATCATGGAGAAACCAGGCAGCATGTTCTTTTGCGGTTGTGCCTTTAAACTTACAGGCTCTCAGTAGCGAATATAGGGATTATATAGGAGTTGTATTCCCTTATTCCCTGCTCAAACGCCAATATAAACACTATGATAATGTAGTAGTTTCAAATTTTCTTCTCCAGTATCCCTGAATAACCCCCTAAACCCGAAACCCTAAATAGTAGTTTCCATTTTCCACTCTCTCTACATATACATATATATATATATGTGTATATCTTCCCTTCTTCCCCACAAAGAAGCAGGAAGTAAACGCTACAAAGTCTCCTGCGTGACCACCGTGTCCAGGCCAAACTGAGCCAACGTTTCCTGCGTGGCTCGTGGTTTGGGGGTTTAGGGGTTTAAGGTTGAGGGATTTTGGGGTTTAGGGGTTTAGGGTTTAGGCATTGAGGCGTTTGAAGGTTTCGGGGTTTAGGGTTTAGAGTTGAGGGGTTTGGGGGGGGTTGGGTTTAGGGGTTTTAGGGTTTGGGGGTTTACGGGTTTAGGGGTTTCATCACGAAAGGCATATTGATCATAATGTAGCAGCCTGAAAACATTACCAGTATGCAAAATGGCAAAATTCATATGCAATTCTGACCAGGGCTACCGGCACGATTTATATGGTAGAGGGATCCGAGTAATCCGAGGCCCTTCCATGCAAACCTCCACATTCATGTAAGTTCCTTCCGATGGTGATAAAATAGTTGGAACTCGTTGAAACTTCCAACTACATTACTGCAATCATCCTCCTGTTGTCTTAGACCGTCAGCATGTGAAAATCAATCCGAAACTGGTGAACCAAAGCCTTCTGCAATTGCAAGTCATCACCAGGCAACCTTGTTGCCTTCAGAGGAGTGCTTCACACACTAAAATTCAGGCAAACCTGCGGAAGCGGCTGCCTCCAGCGTTTTGGCGCCGCCGCCAGCGCTCCGCTTAGCGGCATCCACCAACTGATCCAAGCAGCGTCACAGGTCAAGAGGTTGAGTTTATAAGATCTATCAGACAGAAGGCAGGTGAAGCAAGGGAGTCATTGGATTCAAGCTGAAGAAAACCCTTGCTCGAAGTGCATATGGGAGGAAAATGCTCCTACTGCAGGGGAGAGGCCAGGTGCGAACACAGGATGCAGACACAAGTGACCAAGTGGGCCATGCTTCGGTTTTGGAGCGCTTGAAGCTACAGGGGTCGTAGACTAAGCGCTCACCTTCAAGCCTGAGCAGGGCGCTCTCGTACCGTGTAGGGAAGGAATAAGAAAGCTCATATACTCGCTGAAGAAAAGGAAGTTGAAAATGTGGTGCAAATGGGTTCTCCCAAGTGCCTGTGGTTTCTGGATATGGATAGTATCCCCGAATCGACTCATCAAGCATGCCATACAAGCTGTCGCAGGTGTTGCAAATTTACATATAGCCTGGATTCTGGGACACCAAAGCCCGCTTGTTGGAAGATTCCTTAAACCACCCTATATCACCGTTCACCGTCAACAAAACAATGTATAATCCCTAAACCCCTTTGAAAGGGGCCCCACAGCATTGGGAAACGCACTTACCCTCACCCATCTCGACCTTCGAGTCGTCGCCGCTCTGGCCGGCTCGGCCTCCAAGGCCTCGCCAAAGCTGAGGCTCAAAGTTTAGGGTTCAGGGCTTGGTGCTTGAAGCGTTTCAAGGTTGCAGGCCGCTTTTTGATTTTTGCACCCCTGCGCACCTCTTCCGTGCGAGCATCAGCTACGGAGATGCTCAGGGTTAAGGGTTTAGGGTTTCAACCTGGAAGTCTTCGAAGCTTACGGGCAGATTTTTGCTGCGGGTTAGGACTTGGATTGGTAGACTTCATAATGCCTAGAGCGACTCCATGGATGAGTTGAGCCTTCAACCCTGCCATTCCAATTCCTGCACCATGAAAGCATTGCAAACTCGAAGACAAGCTGGTCTCAAGGCCTGTCCAGTAGAGGAAGGCACGCCAGACCTGGCAGTGGAACTGGCCACGTATGCAGACATTGTTCCTGAACGATTGCTATGGTTGTTCTGATTATTGTTTTGAGGCGTCCTTTACATTTGTCATTCTGCGGCTTAACTTCGTTCTGGCGCGGACCCGGTGGAGGGGCTGACGCTCAAAGCACTCCCATACCTAGACCGTGTATGGCGCTGAGCAGGACGTGCGCCTTACCAAACGGAAAATGAACACAGGCTGAACACAGACGCATGGGCAAAATGCAGGCACATCCCATGACGCAGTGAGGAGCATTGTTACCTTGGTGGAATGCTCTCATGCAGACAAGCACTCTCGATTGATGCTTTTGAAACCAGTTCTGGATTCAGCAGCAGCTGCAGCAGTCGGCCCACAGTCTCACCTGAGAGAGGCCCGCCAGCCCACCCTCGGAGGTCAATGAAATAGTCTAGCTGCCACGCGTGCTTCCGTATCGCTGCTGCGCGCTTTGCAGGCGCCCAAGGTGGGTAGACGTGAAGGGTCACTGGGCGTTTGTTAACAAGACCGCGTTGAGCTAAGGCACTCGTGGGAATTAGATAGATCCCCTCGAGCTTATGTTCGTCATCCAAAAGCGAAATTATCAGCAAATCAAAGTCAGTGGATTCATATGGGATCCGGCCCAACACGCCACCAAACTTGGACAAACCGGCCAGGTAGTCTCCACGCCTGCCTCGACTCGATGCTTTTTCTTGAACCGCATACTCGCGGCCATATCCGCTCAGCACTGAGTCAACGGCACTCAGCTGCTGGTACGGCTTTGAGCGAAACCCGGCTTGTCGCAATACGACCTCACTCTGCCGGCGTGCCAGCTCCTCCACATAGTTGGCTTTGCCGCATTGCAGCCGCGCCTCTTCTAAAGTCACATGAGGGTACTCTTCAGCTTTGTAGAAACAGCTTTGTAACGTCTCTGGAAGACTGCTGACTCGCAATGCTTGGTCCTTTGGCCCGCCCACCACCAGAAAAAGACTGTGCTGAACAACGCCCGCTCCTGGCACCGCCCAAAACAGATCACAATCCAGGGCGATCAAGAGCAAAAGCATTCCGTCGTATCCTCGTACTCTGTTGAAACGATACCACTGCCCATTATTTCCGCTGCTGCTTGAAGACTTCAGTTGAAGCGGCAAGCCCCGTGCTGAACCCTTCCGCTTGAAAATGGCATCAACTCTGGAGCAGGATGACACTGGCACAATCTCAAAGCTCGATGAAACCGCAGACCTCTGCAGCTCTTTCAACACTCGTGTGAATGCGTGTCTCTCCTTCTCTGAATGTACCTTTGACCTCCGCAAATCTCGGGCTCGCTTCTCCAGGCGTGTCTCCGTGAATGTAGACTCTTCCAATGAAGGAAAATTCAGAGAGGTCAGTAGACGATGTCCATCATCGCCACTGCAGAGCTCGCGCAGCTTCGCGTCATAAGCGACAGCAGCTTGCCTCTCACAAAGAAAGCGCCCTAGATAATACGATTTACCTGCAAATGTCAGCTCTGCTGAATATTTCTGCGAAACTGGATGTCGGCGAACACCATTGAAACTGCTTGTAGCAAGCTGCAGACGCGAATTTGCACTTGCACTGCAAACAGGAGTGGGGCTGCGACGACATAGGCAGCCTGCCAATGCAGGCCCGTATGATGCCGGGCGCAGCATGTCTGAAGCCAGAAGTCAGAGCCAAAAAAAACTGGAGCAAACAAAGGCCATCTAACCACCAGCTTCTGCAAACGCCAGGAAACAACTTCATGGCACTTGCATACTTTGGTCTGAAACTCTCCTCTGGGATGGTATTGCAAGGCCTGTTTTTTGCTGGTGGCACCGTAGGCGTGTCCCTAAGCATATTGTCCATATGCAGTCATACAAATTTGGTCAGCCTATGCTGGGATCGGGATTAGGGCTACCTTGCCTGGCCATCATCGAATTCGTAACTGACACATTGGCTGACTTGGCTGGGAACCTTCTGGGAGTCACCCGTCAGTGTCCAAGATTATGCATCTGAGATGTCAACACAGCAGGCAACCGCAGCTCTGGTTCAACATTCTGAAAGCATCTATCCAATTTTTCAAACAATGTCAGACGACAGCATGACGATGATGTATTGGCTTGACGTACAAGCGTGATGCTACACCGCAAATGCCCAAGCTTTGTCAACATCCCTGCTCTGCACACACCATGAATTACTGGCTATGAATGCTTGTACCACACCCATGGAAGCGTAGCTCCAAATCGCAAGCGCTGGTTATGCAACGCACACTGTTGCTTCACGAACGCAAGCCGAAATCGTCAAAGAAGCTGGGCCCTTGTAGCAGCCCGTATCGGGCAACAAAAGCGTCGGCTGTGCGTAGCATCGCTCCAAGAGCCGCTGGAGTCCCCCGCAGCGCCTGTGGGGGATTTGCGGGACTTGCTTGGCATGAAGGAGACACGGAGGTTATAGATTTTGAGGTCAAGGGTGGGCATAGGTTTCATGGGTTTATAGGGTCCAGGGGGGACATACGATTGAAGCAGAGCTGAGCACAGAGCGCGGTGTTGAAGGAATGTATTTGGTTAGATTGCGATTTGAAGCCGAGATGTTTGCGGTAGTGAGGTTTGGTATTGTGGGCTTATAGCTTCACATAACTTCAAGGGGCTCAGTTTGGGATGTAGGTCCATGGAATTGGTATAGAGCGGGTTGCGAAATGTAGCGCCAACAGTTGAAGTGACTGGATCTAATTAGAGGCACGGCCTCGAATTTAAAGATTTGAGTATACGAATGGGATTGGGATTTTGCAGGTGAAATATGCGCATTCTTACAGCCAACCGGCAAACGTGAAACATCAAGACATGGACGTCTGTGCCTGTGGGCCGGTTGGGAAGCTGTCCTAGAGACAGTACACTTTGCCGACTTTGGAAACCTCGGAATGACGAGCATGCCTCATCGTCTGGTCCGTAGCAACATTAGAAAGGCATTTCGAAGCCGACTCACACACAAGACTGGAAAACTACACCAAGAAAAATATGAAAATCCTGTAATGAACTGGCCTTAGACGTGAACTAATGCGATCCAAGCCTATACGACCTCCTCGCAACACTCCCAAATATCCCTGGGCCTGTGTTTCGGGCGCGGTGGGCCTCCACCTGTGCTTCTCTTAGGAGGGTTGTAAGGGGGCATCCTGCCATTTGGCTCGAGCACCCTCTTACCTGCAGCGCTTCATATTGAGTGTGCGTGTGTGTGTCTATGCCTTGTTGCAGGAGCTCTTGATGTTCTGCTCCCGAGCTGGAGCCAAAAACCTTATGCTCTGAAGTTCCAAGTGCACTGCTACCCTTACAAAAGATAGTTTGAGAGAAGAAGCGGACCTCTTGCAGGAATGCTGCCATTCACTGCTCGACTCGGGGCCACGCAGCTAGCAACCGACCACACCCAAGCAACAATCAAAAGCCAGAATGCACATGAAGGTGGCAACATCAAAGGCTCCCAAGTCAAACTTTGTCCAAACCGTTCGTCTGATCCAGCCCATACTCAATTTACAACCACGTCCATCTTTGCTCTCCCTGAGGACATGAGGTACAGGCTTTCGGCTTTGGCAACTCGGCGTCTCTCTCCTGCCTAGCATCCGGCACCGAGACTGACGTGCTAAGTGAAGCTTTCTGAGGCGCGTAAGGTTTGGTTGGGGACCTCGGAAGAAACCAGAACATCGCTGAACTGTTTCTGGAACAAAAGCTTAATTGTGAGAACACGAGAAACCGGAACACTCGCATTAGGACATTCCCTGTTCTAGGCGTTTGGGAGCTTTTCTTCTTTTGGGTCTCCGGCTTCAAGGTGGAGGTGAGCGGCTTTTGGGGGCCGGCCCATGACATCCGACTCTCCCCTCCCCTAGCCATGTAAATGAGGGGTTTTGAACGACTTTTTCCTAACAAAGAGGCTGTGTCAGACCCTGCTGGATGCCGAATGATTGTGTACTCAGAGGTTTGCAAAGTCAGTGAGGCAGGCAGGGGCCATCAAAAGCAGTGCGGCCCAGATCTGCTTTGTTAGCCTAGGCTGCCTCATAGCTTGGCCATTTGGATTCCAAAGGTAGCAGCCCTCGAAGTGAATTCCGAAGCCTCCTCCGAAGCTTTACAAATGCACACATCGGATGAGGCGAGCCTTCCTGTTGCACAGCGCGTGCAAGCACCTCTCAAAGCTTCCATTGCTGTGCGTCCCCAGGGGTTGGCATTGGAGGTCAGGACCATTGAGTTCCAGTGTGGTTCCTGAATGCTGTGAAGTTTCCAAGTTGTTGGGCGTTCGGCTTTCGGTCTAAGGGGTCGCTGGAGCAGTGCTGGAATCAATCTTCTCGCAGAATTTTACAACATGACTGTTCTGAACAGAGTGCATGCCCTGGGCCAGCCACCCTGATAAAATTGAAAACCCTGTGCTTTGAGCAGACCATTGTTTCATCCCCGCTTACTGCAGCTAAAGGACCAGTCTACCAACTACCTCAAACATTGAGAGCCATTCAAAAAAGCTTGAAGCCCACAATGTCCATTCTCAGAAGTCCAGAACCCAGACCCCCACAAAGGGCGAACCCTGACCAACCCACCGTGGGCACCTCCCTAAAAGTCGGCA